TTCCGCCTCAGCTTCCGAGTAGCCGGGAATTACAGGCATGCACTACCACACCCAGCTGATTTTTTTATTTATTGTAGAGATGAGGTCTCGCTGCCCAGGTGGGTCTTGAACCCGCGGGCTCAGGCAATCCACTCACCTCAGCCTCCCAAAGGCGCGGGATTACAGGCTGAGCCACCGAGCCCGGCTTCCAGTGCCACTTTTAAAAGATAATTTTGTTCCCGGATGAAGTGGTCATAGGAAGGATACTGCTGGGTGGAAGATATTTTTGAATTCAATGTGTCAAATTCTGTCTTCAGACACTACTGTCCCTGTGCCTCTTCTTTTGGTGGGAGGGAAGGAATTCTGATGCCATTTGCTTGTGACCAGGGGAGGTAAAACTGTCAGTTTTGATCTCACTTGTTACATCATCTCTAAATCGTGACGGTTTTGAGCAGGAGTCAGGTAATGAGAATTACAACCAACATAAGCTCTGACTGTCTCAAGACAGGATTGCTGGAATTTACTTTTAAAGCTCCCCAAGGTGTTTGCCTAATAATATACTTCTATACAATTCAGTCAGAAAGCAGATCTCAACCTCCAGTGTTGGTAATGAGAAAGCAAAGACCACCAGCAACATTTGGGTTCACATGCATTCAAGCATTACTTGTAATCTAGTGGCATGACCTTCACTTTACATCCATTATCTAATTGGTCTCAATGTCTGGGATCCTTCAAGAGGAAAATCCATTCTCCTTCTAGGGTAAAATGTGACCATCAAGAAACCTAGAGGAGTAATTTTTACCTTGTAGTAGTTTTTGTTACCTCAAAAGACTGAGCAAAGAGATATCTTATATTTTTACTCTCTTGATTCTTCTTTTTTTTACTAGGCAATTGACTTCAGGAATCAGGATTCCTTGATAAAAATAATAGCAATGCCATTGGAATTATCAATTTGCTTCCTTCCTACAGTTAGATATTAATTTGAATCTGTCTTTTCCTAAGCTAATACAAGTTGTAAGTGTCTCATTTCGGTTCTTTTAATTGACTGAGTTACCATGTGATCTAATATCATGAGATTGGAATCTCAGTTATTTAAATCTAATTTCTAAGTAATATCAAAGTTTTCAAACTATAAACCTCTCATTTCCAGACAAATTAAAGGTTTTCTTTTAGCATCTGCCTTTAGAGGGAAGAGGACTTAAGGAGACCTTGTTATTACTGAAGTCAGTGAACTGGGGAATTTGAAGTCTGATTCTTCAGGATACACTGGTGCCTGCCTATCTCCTGAAGGCATCGCCTTTCCAGTAGTTACAATGGGACTATTAATCAAACACTGTTAAAATTAGAGGTGCCTTGAGAATGTGGGGAAATTTGAGAAGACCGGTATCCTCAGAAGGCCCAAGAACGGTTGACATCTGTTGTTCTGATCAACGTTTACCCTTCTGAGAACAGCCGTGTACAGCTCTGTTATTATGCACAGCTGACATTTAAAATATGCTTTTAAGTAGGTTCAATACAGAGGAGGTCATTATTTTGGTTTTTATAGTTATTACAACTGGAGTTGATTTTAATTTGTCACACAGCTCTGGGCTGGGCACATGTTAAACTAACTCTGGCTGTGGAGAGTGGTGCCTTTTTTTTTATTTTATTTTAAAGATGTGGGGTACAATTCAGGATTAGGTATATAAGTGAACATCATACAGGTAAAGTTTGGGCCTCCCTTTGGTCCCCACTTTGCCTGGTTAGAGATCAGGTACCCTTATTGATGTTGTGTTTCCACCCATACCACCCACCCCCGGCAGTACAGTATCCAGCTACTGCCAATCCCTTTCTTATAGTATTATGGTAAATGTTCAGGGTCCACTTATGAGTGAGAATATGTGGTACTCTGTTCTTTGTTTCAGTGATAGATCACTGCGTATGATAGACTCTAAATCCATTCACGTTGCTTCAAAGCCCATATGTTTGTCCTTCTTTATTACTGTGTATATGCACCACATTTTTTATCCAGTCTAGTTTCGATGGGCAGCATGTTTGGTTCCATGTTTTTGCTATTGTGAATAGTGCTGCAATAAACATGCATGTGCAGGTATCTTTTTTGTAGAATACTTTGAGTTCCTCCGGGTATACTGCCAGTAGAGGGGTTGCTGGGTCATAGAGTGGTACATTTTTATGATTATCTATCTTAATAGATAAGCTTTGGAAATAGACGTCCTGGATTTCCAATTCTTGGACCCACTATTTGTTGACTGCTTGACCTTGAAAAAGCTATTTATCTCTTTTATTATCAATTTTCTTAATCTTTAAATTGAAAAGAAGAAAACTTACCTTTTGGGGAGTTAATGGTATCAGATAAAAAGCTCTTAGCACAGTATCTGGTGCATTAGTTATTTAATAAATAAATACCCAAATAATGAAGAAATAAAGGTATGGTAAAGTGAACATATGAATGAATAAAAGAAAACAAGCTCACCTTGAATCCAGAAGGGCCATATTATTGATAATTGTATGCCAGCCATACCATACATCTGGCTCATTTTTTAAAACCTGTTTGTTTCCCATGGGTTATCCAGATTAAAGGACCTGCTGGGACATAAAAAGCCTGCCCCCTAGCATATAAACCTAATCCCTGCAATTTCTCCCTCTGAATTGGAGCTGTTGATTTCACAGAGTTGAGACCCTAATTAATTCTCCCCGCCCCCCTTTTTTAAAATTTTAACATGGTTGCATAGGTACTAAATGTTCAAGATGGCCATCATTTCACTCTCCGGTTTTTGGTCACCCTGAGCACACTGTGTCTCTAGTATTATTCTGTGAGGGATTCTGTGGCACACACTGTGTCTCTAATATTCTGTGAGGGACTCTGTAGTTAGCAGCTTTTCTCACAGTTCTGGAAGGAAGTGGGCTCTCATGAGCACACATAAGGGATCCAACTGCTTCCTTCCTGCACCCCTCTCCCCCTCCCCTCTGTGTTCTGGGACTCATGAAGGACACACACACACACACACACACACACACACACACACACCAGGTGCAGCAACCCTTCCTGCAGTCCTGAGAGTGGATGTTACACTCTGATTCTGGACCAAGAGAATGTGGACCAAGTACACTGTCCGTCTAATCTCAGCTCCAACTGAAGCTCTCCTCCCTCCTTCGTACTTGCTCAACAGGAAGCCAATATGTGGCTTCTAGTCCAAGATTTGCCACTTCCGTGTGTGTAACCTTGAATAAGTCAGCATCTCTGAGTCTTAGATTCCTCACTTGTAAAATGAGGGGCTAGGGCTACCTGATCCCTGAAGCTCCATCCAGGGTAGTTTCAAAAGGTAGTTCTAGCAAAAATATGGATCCAACCATGCTGCCCATCGAAGCTGGACTGAATAAAGAAAATATTTTTGGGAGCCGGCCATGGAGGCTTGCCTGAGCGTTAGGGATCGAGGCAGGCTGCAGACCCTGAGACTGCTAGGACGAGTTCAGGAGCTGAAGGCCCACTGCCTCTTCCCTTCCTTGCTGTTTTGGCACATTCTACTAGCAGGGACTTTGATGATCTAAACATGAATTTCTGAGAGTACGACAGGCATGGCTTACTTTAGGAGTCCATTGTTCCGGTTTGTCACAGACTGCGGTTTCGGCTTTAAACTTAACATAATTCAAACTCAGGTCACATTTGGGAGCCTTTAATATGGTACAAGCTTCTTTAAAGATGTAATAGTATATTTGTAGAATTAGTATATACATACAAAGTGCTGTTTCAACCTTAATAATACAGATAAATATCTAGAGCTACTAGAAACCGCCCAGCACAAGCTTTGAACTGGGCCACATTCCCTAGGTATTGGTTTGGGTTATAATTAAGAGTTTCTATAGTGTAGGTAGAATTAGCATAAAATAGAGAGGAATTGGGATTTAGGTTGGTTATTAGGTGTTGCATATGCATAGGTTTTAAGTTATTGATTATTAGAATATTATGATATTAGAATTGTTGTACTGCTTTTGAGAAATATTAACCAAGCATGAGGAACAGTGAAATAGTTTTGGGATCCTCATTCCTCATGCTTGGGGAAACACCTGGTGGGTGGGGGAACGCCCCTCATCCACCTGGTTCTATGTTCATGTAAATGTCTTGTGATTTAATTGGGATTGCCTTTCCTCTTACTCCAGGAAACACCTGGTGGGTGAAAGATGCCCCCTCATTCACCTGGCTTTGTGTCCATGTAAAGGTTTTGTGATTTAATTGAGATTGTTCTTCCTCATGCCCGAGGAAACACCTGGTGGGTGGGGGGGTGCCCCTCCTGCACCTGGCTTGTGTTCACGTGGAAGACTTGTAAGACTGCCTGTGTAAAATTTGGGATAAATACAAGCTGTAAACCCCCAATAAACGGCTTCTGGTCAATCCATTGAACAGATGTCCGCTTTCTTTCTTTCTCTTTATATCTATCCCTCCTTCTTTCTTTCTTTTAATATCTATCCTTATAGAAACGCCGACGCCATCACACCTTCCAAGGACCCCCTAAATCTCTTTTTGGGGGCTGGCTCCCCAAAAAATATGGTATATATACACAATGGAATATTACGCAGCCACAATGAAGGACAAACATATGGACTTTGCAGCAACTTGTATGGATTTAGAGTCAGTGATCTATCACAGAAACAAAGAACAGAGCACCATACGTTCTCACTCATAAGCTGGCCTTGAACAATTTTCATAGTACTATAAGAAAGGGATTGGCAGTAGTGGGAAACAGCCAGGGTGGAGCGGGGATACCTCATCAACAAGGGTACCTGCATAATGAAAATCTGTATACCCAAACTGAATTGTACCCCACATCTTTAAAATAAATACATTAAAAAAAAAAAGAAAGGTGGTTCCTTTGGGATGGTATACCCTTCATTTGGCAATTATTTATGCATGGCCTTAAAACATTTCTTATACTGATATTTCAAGAATTTGTATTAATTTTTTGCTAGAGAAATATGCCTTATCTCCCCAGCCAAACTAAGAGCTGACTGAAAAGACGGAGCACATCTTATGCTCCTTTATATCCCTCCTGTGACCATGAGAAAGCCTCACATTCACAGTAGGTCCTCAGAGAATGAGTATTGATTGTATTCAGACAGGTTTGGGGTTTCTCTGATAACAACAGCCTGAAATGCAAAAACACAGGCTACTTTCTTGGTCTTAGAAATCCTCCCACAGATACAGATCCAATCTTGAGGAAAGAAGGAATATCCTGCTTGGTGGTAGGGAGTGGATGGTGGAAGTGTAGCAGAAATGGGGACTTCTTTCCTCCAATTCCAGTTAAGTGCCCGGCAATATTTTTCTGTGTTCAAGGTGGAGGATGTTGCCAGAGGTATTACCCATCCCATCACTCCCATCCCATGTGGCTTCAAACTGAAGCAGGAAGCATACCCTCTATCAGTCCAGTAGAATCTACGGCCAATCCAGTCCACTGCAAGACCTTCTGGTACATCAACTGCTTCCTCAATAATCCTTTCTCGCTGGGAACCATCCATATTAGCTCTTTCTATCCACTTCAGGGCCGTATGGGCAAAGTAGATCTGGAAGAGAGAACACAGGCATTTCTGATTTGCTTGGGGAAAAAAAAGAATGTAGAATATGTGCAAATAGTGCTAAGAAGTCTTCAGGTTGTACTATGTAATTGTTTTGTCTTTTTAAATTATTTTATTTTATTTTAGAGTTATGGGGTGCAAGTGAGGATTTACTACATAAGTAAGTTGCATACAGGTGAAGTTTGGTCTTCTAGTTGGTCCCTTCTCCCCCAAGAGTGGATGAGGTACCCAGTATGTTCAATGTGCCTCCCCCTCTTCTCCCTCCCCCAGCAGCATCTAGCGTCTGCAGATCCCACCCTTTGTACAGTGTAATTGTTAAGAGTCTGGCTCTGGAGACAGACACACCAGCTAAACTCCAACTGCGCTGCTTTCACATAGGTGTAACCTTACGCAAGTTACTCAATGTCTTATAATCTTAGTTTCCTCCTTGGTAAAATGAGGATAATAATACCAAGCTCATTATGTTTATGATACATGGGTACTAATCTTTAGCCCTGAGCCTGGCACATATTTCCATTGTCACTGGAAATTTATCAGTCACTGATTATTGGTCAACGACATCACCATTGTGCTTGAACCATAGTAGCATCTGAAAGGAAGCAATGATTTGCAATTTAGAGGGCTACAGATTGCTTCAGCCCAGGAGTTGGAGACCAGCCTAGGCAGCATAGCAAGACGTCATCTCTACAAAAAAAAGAAAAAAACAGTGGGGTCGGGCATAGTAGTGTGCGCCCACTGTCACAGCTACTCAGGAGGCTGAGGTGGAAGGATTGTCTGATCCCAGGAGGTTGAGGCAGCCGTGTGGTGGTGGTGAGTCATGATCGCGCCACTGCACTCCAGCCTGGGTGACAGTGAGACCCTGGCACATACACATACACATGCACAAAAGAGGGCTACAAGCTGGACTTGGTCCATAGCACTCCACTTCACTGTGAGTGAGGGATTTTTCTCCTAGTTTAGTCACTCACTTGCTTGATTGCTGGCCAAATCATTTAACCTCAACTTTCTCAACTATAAAAATTGAAATTAGACTGGATATTTGCTGAAGCTCCCTTCATCTCTAACCTTATATGTAGTCATGGCCTGAATAATGACATTTTGGTCAACGACAGACTACATATATATGACAATGATTCCATAAGATAATAAAATTGAAAAATTTCTATTGCCTACTGACTTTGTAGTCTTCATAATGTTGGGGCAATTACTTTATTTTTTTAAATAACTTTAGTGTGGTCTGAGTGTACAGTGTTTCTAAAGTCTCAGTGGTAGACAGTCATGTCCTAGGCCTTCACATTCACTCAGCACTCACTCACTGATTTGCCCACACACTTCATTCATGTAAATGTCCAATAAAGGGATGGTACTTTAAAAAATCTTTTATACTCTATTTTTACTGTAACTTTCTATGTTTAGGAATATTTAGATATACACAATACTTACCATTGTGTCCCAATTGCCTCGAGTATTCAACACAGTAACATGCTGCAGGGGTTTGTAGCTTATATACCACGTAGCCTAGGTGTGTAGTAGGTTAGACTACATAGGTTTGTGTAAGTGCACTCTATAATGTTTGCACAACAAAACTGCCTGATGCATCTGTCATTAGTGATGCATGACTCTAATTCAATTTTAATTAATTTACCTTGTTCAACAGAGCATATCTTGCAGCAACAAAGTTTCTTTTCAGTCTAACCATCTGACAAGTACTATCTAATAGGTATAATAATTTTATGAGAATGTTTTTAAAAAGTGGCACGAAGATTAGAAAAGACAATTCTAAAATTCGTATGGAAAAAGGAGCCCAAATAGCCAAAACAATCCTAAACAAAAAGAATAAAACTGAAGGTATCACATTACTTGACTTCAAACTATATTCCAAGGTTATAGTAACCAAAACTGCGTAATACTGGTATAAAAATAGACACATGGATCCATAGAATAGAATAGAGAATCCAGAAATAAAGTCACACACTTACAACCAATTAATCTCTGACAAAGTTGACAAAAATATTCACTGGAAAAAGGACACCTTATTCAATAAATGGTGCTGAGAAAATTGACTAGCCATAAGCAGAATAAACTGGACCCCTATCTCTTACCATATACAAAAATTAACTCAAAATGGATCAAAGATTTAGAACACCCCAAACTATAAAAATCCTAGAAGAAAACCTAGGAAAAACTCTTCTAAACATTGGCCTATGCAAAGAATTTATGACTAAGTCCTCAAAAGGAAATGAAACAAAAATAAAAATAGACAAATGGTACTTAATTTAACTAAAAAGCTTCTGCATAGCAAAAGAAATACTCAACAGAGTAAAAAGATAACCTACAGAATTGGAGAAATTATTTGCAAGCTATGTATCTGGCAAAGGGCTAAAAACCAGACTCTATAAGGAAGTCAAACAACTCAACAAGAAAAAGATAACCCCATTAAAACATGGGCAAGGAACATGAATAGACATTTTTTTAAAAGAAGACATACAAGTTGTCAACAAATATGAAAAAATACTCAACATCACTAATCACCAGAGAAATGCAAATTAAAACCACAACAAGATACCATCTTATACCAGTAAAAATGACTATTGTTATAAAATCAAAAGCAACAGATATTGGAAAGGTTGTGGAGAAAAGGGAACTGTTATACACTGTTGAGAGAAATGTAAATTAGTACATCCTTTATGGAAAACGGGATGGAGATTCTCAAATAACTAAAAGTAGAACTACCCTTCAATCTAGCAATCCTACTGCTGGGTATCTACCCAAAGGAAAATAAATTATTACATTAAAAAGACACTTGCACTCATATGTTTATTGCAGTACTATTCACAATAGCAAAGCCATGAAATCAACCTAAGTATCTATCAATGGATGATTGTATTAAAAACATGGTATTTGTTTGTCATGGTAGACTACTCAGCCATAAAGATAATGAAATCATATCTTTGGTAGCAACATGAATGAAACTGGATGCCATTATTCTGAGTGAAATGACTCAGAAACAGAAAGTGAAAAATCACATGTTCTAATTATTATAATACTATTAGAAAAGGATTGTCAGTAGTGGAAATTGCTGGGCAGTGGTG